CTTCCAAAGTTGACATACTTGAATTTCTCCATTTTACAACGCACGAATCTTTCTCTCTTCCTCCCCCCTAGCCCCCCCCCCCCACCGCCCTCCTTGAGTCCTTGGACTCTAGTGCTCTACCACTTAAGCCACAGCACAACTTCTGGTTATTTCTGAGTTTATTGAAGAGTCTAATGGACCTTACTTCCCAGGTTGGCTTCAAATCATGATCCTCACATCTCAGCCTCCTATGTAGCTAGGATTATAGTGAGCCACCAGCTCCTGGTTACAAAATGTATTCCTCTAAATAATTCTCAGTCCCTGCTTCTTTTAAAGATATTATCAAAATTTCTTTGATCATGAGATCCTGAATAGAAGTGATGCTGGAAAGCTGGACTGAATATGAACTTTATTTGGCTTTTCAAAAAAAATCCTCATCAGTCTGATCTCATATAATAGTAAACAAGAGGTCACTTAAACTTAAGAATATTCGATTAAGCCAGCCAGAATTCAAGCCCCACAACTGACCCCCCCAAAAAAATTCCATTAAAAAGATAAAAATTTTTTAAAAAAGAAAAAAAGAGACTATTCTAGGCACCAATATGCTATTTTCAGTGTGAATTATTTCCCTCTGTACTCATGTTAAAAATAACCTGTTGGCCTATACATTAACACTATCCAACTAAAGCAGTGCTTTAGGGTAAAGATATTGTTTTGTATTTAAAATCTTGAGCAAGTGCAAGAACCTATGGATATTTACAATGTTCTGTCTGCTCTGTTGTATGGGTCTAGGGCTGCCTTTGAGGTTTTGTAGTTTCACAGTAATACATCCTATTTCCTTTACATATAGCTTAAATGTTTTAAGCTAATGGTAAACAAAAACCCAGTGTGGATTGTGTTAAAACAGGGACCACTGGGAATACCACTAGCAGACCAAGTCAAAACATACTGCATGGAAGACTCTGCACTTTAAACTTAACCAATGGATGCTTAGGTATTTTAGAATGTTTTATGGTAGAACCAAAGAGAAATTAACACAAGAAATTTTAATGGATTAATGATAGTAACTGGCAATTACTGTGGAGCAGAATTTGAATTCAATCTCCCTCTCCAGGCCAAACTCCCTACCATTAACCTGTTTTTCTCTCTTTTGCCAGCCTTTAGGGTTTGAGCTTAGGACCTTGTACTCTCATTTACTTGCCTGCTCAGCTGATGCTCTTGCTACTTGAGCCACACCTCCAGCTTGGTTTTTGCTGGTTGGAGATAGGAGTATCAAAAAACTTCTGAACTGTGATCCTCATGTCAGGGTCCTGAGTAGCTAGGAATACAAAGATGAGCCATGGGTTCTTGGTATGTTTATTTTTGAAACTTATGTGTCCTTATGTGTAGCTCAGCTAACATCCATATAATCTTGCTGCCTCCTGAGTGCTGTAATTACATCCACAGACTACTACCATGACATACTCACATAAAAAAATTATATACATTTATATAAACGTAAATTTAAATATACAAATAAAACATGTAAACTTATATACATACATATTAGTAATGGGTTTGAACTCAGGAGCTAGTGCTTGCTAGGGAGATGCTCTACCATTTAAGCCATATCCTTGCAGTCTTACCAACTCAGGACCCTGAGATCTGAGGATCACAGTTCAGTCTTTTTAGGTTCATTTTTCAGATAGGGTTTGCTAAGTATTTTGCCCATGTCATTCTAAACCACCCCTGTGCCTGATTACACAGAAAAGAACCACAATGCCCAGCTTGTTTGTTGAAATGGGGGGGGGAGGGGGACTAGGGACAGAGGTCTCATCAGCTTTTTGCTCAATCTGGTCTTTCAACAGCCATCTTCCAGATCTCCACTACTGAGAAGCCAGGATTAGAAGTGTGAACCATTCTGTTCGGCTATATATTTTTTGTTGTTGTTGATCGTGGGCCTGAACTCTGGGCCTGGGTGCTATCCTTCAGCAATTCAGCTCAAGGCTAGCGCTCTACCAATTGAGCCACAGTGCCACTTCCGCTTTTTTTCTTCTGCTTATGTGGTGCTGAGGAATTGAACTCAGGGCCTCATGCATGCAAGGCAAGTGCTCTACCACTGAGCCACCTTCCCAGCCCAGGTTTTTTTTTTTTTTTTAAAGTAGTAGGTTTAAAGATTGAATCTTGCACTTGGCTTTGTGTGTCAATACTGGTGTTTGAACTCAGGGCTGTGTGCTTGCTAGGCTGGAGCTATACCACTGGAGCTATGCCTCCTGCCCAGGGTCTTGTACTTGCTAGCAAGTACTCTCCCTTGATCTCAGCCCTCCAGTCTTGTACTTTTGTAGTGTGCCAAATTTTAATTCACCATATATATTATTTTACCCTCTACTTTGAAGCAAATATCAAATAATTTAGAACTTATGGTTAATATAACTACACCAGACATGGTGGTATACATCAGGAGGCTGAGGCTAGATGGAGCTGGAGGCCAGCTTGGGCTACGCAGCAAATGGCCATCCTGAGTCACTGTAACCAGTAACAAAATGGGAGTGGATCATCTACAAGGATATAGGGACAAGGTAGGTATAGCTCAATAGGAAGAGGACTTGCCCAAAGTCCTAGGTTCCATGCCTTTGTAAGAAAACATTTATATGGAGAATTTTTCAGGTTGGCTTAAAATTTTAGCTGAATTGTACAGACCTATCATTCAGTGTTCATCATTGTGCACTGTGATCCCTTACATGTATGATACCCCTTCCTGAATGATTTTGGTAGTTAACTTGTATACTTTTTTAAAACAGGGGCAATCCCAAGACCTTGTGAATGTCAGGCAAGTGTTAGTCATTGAGTGCATTTTTTTCTGTCTATACTGGAGACTGAACTCAGGGCCTACCACTCAAATCATATCCCCATTCCATTTGTCCATTGTTTTCACCTCATAGAACCAGCCAGAACTGCAGCCATTCTTCGATATATCAAATGTTTTGTGATATGTAATAAAAATAACTAGTTACCTAATTATTAAGACTACAAAAATCATTTTCCAGTTTGCTATATGTGGACTACTAGGTAGCTTTAAATTTTTCATAAAACTCATTTCCATACAAAAACTAAAGAGACATTTTATATTCCTTACAAATAAAAGTATAGGTTAGAAACTGGCTTAGAGAAATTAGCCCCAAGTAATTAATCAGCCAGGTTGATTGTGAAAGTCACTGGTTCACTAATTTATCTAGTATTTTACGTTTTCCGTAGCCATTTACATTTTCAGTTGTGAAACAGAAACACTAATCTACTGACCAATTTGTAAAACTGTGATGTTCACATAGTGAGCAATAAAAAATGACCACGCTCATCATTTCTAATTGTCTCAGCACATCTGTGTCTTTAAACATTCATTGAAATAAATGAGTTTTTGAAAATGTAAACACTAAATCCAGCCACTTCTTCTGGTATTAACTCACAAATGACAGAGCCACCTTTTTAAGTTGATAATCACTGTCTGTATCCTATTTCAAAATGACAAATCAATATTTATAAAAATGTTGTGAAGCTTCTGAAAGTTATCTAATATAAGCTTAATTTTTCCCATGTTCCTGTGAGGTATTTCTTCCTTTAAACATTTTGTTTTCACCACAATAATATATATATATATATTGCAGGGACTGACATAGAACACCAAAATTTAAATATTAACTTTAGATATCGTTTTGGACCCTATCCCAGATTTTCTCTTATGTGTTCCCCTCTCCCAAGTTTAGCATATTAATTTCCTACTGATAATGCAACACTAATTAGGTGATTACTATGTGATACTTAACACATATTAGTTCACTTAATCCTCATAATAATCCTACAAAATGAAGACATTAACTAAACATCACCCAGGTAAGTAACTCCAAAACATGTACTTTACCAGAAAGGAATTACAGGGATGGGTTCTGAAGCTACAAAGGCTGGGCTGATATCCTACCAGTCTTAATAGAAAATAAATTCTCTTTGCTACCATGTTTCTTCATCCTCAAAAGACATGAACAGAATTACTAGGGTTGTTAAGGAGTAAGAAAATTAGTAAAAATAAGATACTCTTTGGGTTTAATTCTCAAGCAGGTGTCCCTTACAAAGATACCTTTCCAGAATTTCATTAGCTTCCTTTTCAATAAACAACCATTCATGGGAAGTGTTTAGCATTAATCTCTGTATCCTTAGCAGGTACAGTACAATATTTAACGGAGAAGACTGATTTTTTTTCAGTAACATTATCCAAGTACTTTATGTTTATCAATATTTCCCATTATGAAGACCTGAATAGTTATAAAGAAAAATGTAATTTTTTTAAACCACTCACCAGAGTTTCAAGAAACTGAGTATGAATAAAAACAGCAATCACTGTAAATTACCATCGGAGGATAAATAGAATTTTTACCTTATTTTCCATATGAAGGACTATTAGAAAGTATTTATAAATTGCAATTAAGGTCTATAATTTTCCCTTTCCACTTTTAACCAAAGTTCCACAATCTCATAGGCTATCCTACAAATAAGGCCATTGTTAATGGTTTCTTTTCTTTTTTTTGGGGGGGGGTCCGGTCGTGGGGCCTGAACTCTGGGCCTGGGCGCTGTCCCTCAGCTCTTCACCTCAAGCCTAGCGCTCTACCACTTGAGCCACAGCACCACTTCCGGCTTTTTTTCTTTTTGCTTATGTGGTGCTGAGGAATCAAACCCAGGGCACCTCAGGCATGCAAGGCAAGTGCTCTACCACTGAGCCACCTTCCCAGCCCTCGTTTACTTTCTTGATGAGAAACATTTTATGTGTTGTAATTCCATTAATTACTTTGGGAATTTTCTCAGGCTAACATGACAAAATATTGAAGAGCTTTTCAGACACCATGGCTTTTTCTAAGCATATTCTTACTGCTCCCCCAATTTAGTGTGACCTTAAAAAACAAATAAAGAAATAACCCAAATTTCTGTTAACAAAAATTTTAAAACTTCAGATTAAATTATTAGGTTTAGATTATATATATTAACAATCATTTTGGTTAAAAATAAAAAATTTATTATTCTAAAACAGTCAAAACTTGAAACAAAATTTTTACTTAAGCTTAATGCTCTTTTTAACTCCAGCACGGATGCCAGACAATTCACCACTATAACGCTGTTCTTCTTTGCGAACTTCACGAACCTGGCCTCTTCTTCGAATTTTCGCTCTTCGGAACTTCTCCCTGTGTTTTACTCTGGGATTGCGATCAATCTTCTTTCTCCTAGGTGTAAGTCCCCTATTTTTAGCAATCTGATAGGTAATAGCTCTCTTTGCATTTTGATCTTCGAGGGCCTGTTCTTCAGTACTACTTTCTTCTTTCTTTCTCTTCAACTTTTGTCGGTCTTCCATCTCTTTATAGTGCTTCAACGCAGCTTCGTTAAAATCAGAATCATCAGAAACATCTGCAGTAGAAACAGCCTCCGTCTGGGAAACAGACTTCTTTGACTTGGCCACTGTGAATTTTTCTTTTTGCTTCAATTCTTTCTTTACAGCATCATCCTCACCTGTGAGTAGATGACGAATTTCAGAGGACAGCTTCTGATCCACTACGGAGAGCTTGTTGATGAGATTTCGGTAGGTAACAAGCCGTTCTATGACAGGATGTCCTTCAGCAGGGATTCTCCTAGCTTTTAGAATCAAATAAAAACTGATGTTGGAGCAATAGTTCAAGTAGAGATTATATTTGGTCTTAAGGTACTGGCTTCCTTTTCCGGGTGGGATGATACCTTGCTCCACCAAACCTAACAGTGGCTCTAACTCATCCTTCACTTCTGTCAACTTAACCTTCAGGTCTTCTATTAGTTCCAAGAGCTCCGGTGATTCCTTTCGCAACATTTTCAGCTTTTCTTTCACTGAGACTTTTGCCAAATCCTTCACCACTCGCGTCTCGGCCTCATCTACACGAGGCACTGGTTTTGCAAAAGCTTCCACCCAAGCAACGCCAAAGTCGTCTTCCTGCAGGGCTTGAGCTAGGCGCCGCTGAATTACTTGCGCCTCTTCCTCTTCCTCTCTCTCCTCCTCCTCAACTTCTTGTTGGCTCTGCCGGCCTCGGGATTTGGAACCGTAGTCTGTGTCATAGTACAGTTTTTTCCTTTGACCCCAGGATAAACTGGGATCCACAGAAGCCTCAGCCTCACTCTGCACCGAACTCCCGCCATCATCATCATCATCATCGTCTCCATCCTCCTCGTCCCCCGTACTCTCTCCATCTCGGTCGTCTTCATCATCAACATCTAGGGCTAGCACCTCCTCCTCGCCATCCTCCTCGTCCCCACTGTCTACTTCGGCCCAGCCCTTCGCCAAGGCCGCCCGGGATCGTGCCTCGTGGAAGTCGTCTACCTGATCTTGGTAGTAACTGGCGCTCCCGGGTGAGGGCGGCAACCCCGCGTCCTCTTCATTTTCCTCCCCGACGTGGCCACCGGCCCGGGACTGCACGGACGCCCACTGGGCCGCTCCACGCCGCCGGGATTTCTTCCCCATGGCGCACACACCGTCGCAGGTTTTACTTCCGCCACCTCTGACCACGGCCCGCAAGCCACGCACCTCCGCGACAAGTCACGTCCAACAGTCCGCCGCCGGCCACGCGAGCTCGCCGGCACCCCAGCCGTCCCCGGCGAAAACCTCCGCTTCCTTCCGGTCCCCAGGATGCTCTTCGCGCGGCGCGCGGACCACCACTTCCGCTCGGCCCCGCAGGCCGAGGGGGCGGGGCGGAGCGGGGAGATGGGCGGGGAGTTCCTTCCCAGCCGCTGTAAAATCTTTCCGGCTAGAAACAAATTGCGACAATTCCGTTCCGCGGCGAGACTCTCGCGAGCCTGCGCGTGGCGAAGGGCGAGAACTGCGGTGCTGCAGCGCGGCGCGTTCGCCGGGGTCAGTAGAGGGCGCCGCACGCCCGTGCTCTGACGGCCCCGCGGGCCGCGCCGTCACTGGATCCCGAGAGGGGCGGGAGCGTCCTGCGCGGGGTTGGTTTTCTCTCCTCATCAGTGTGGAAGTTAACGTTCGGTATGCTTTCTTTCTTTCATTTCCTCACACCGACAGCGAACGCACCCACGTTTCCGGTCACCACAGCCCGAGGCCGGCGGCGGCCGCGGAGCCGGGGTCCCGGGCGAGCCCTGCGGGGCCCCGAGCCGAGGCGGACCTCGGGGGTCGGTGGGCTCCACCCTCGGGGGAAAGGGAAGAGGTACCGCGATTTCCTTGGGGTGGGAACTGGGGGACGGACCCCGCCCCGGGGTGGGTGGAAGGGAACCTCGTGTGCGCTTCCAGCACTGAGGAGAGCCACGCGTGTGCGGGACACAGTGCCGGAGACCCCGAGGGAGGCCGCGAGGCCAAAGCAGATCCTCCCCCCCACCCCCGGGGAGCCTGTGGTCAGCGGGATCCTGTCACCTTAGCACCGCGTGAAGTTCGTGAACACGGAAGGACGCGTGTCGGATCCCCGGCTTGGGAAGCCTAGCGAACGCGAGGCCAGTACTTGCGCACGAACACGGAGCATTGGTTTCGTTTAAGACACCTTCGTCCGGAAGCATAGAACAAGTTTACTTCACTTACACATATTGTATTAGACGATGGTAATTTGTAGAAATCCATTAAATGCCAACGATGCATTTCATGCGAACAAAACAACAATGGGTTTGGCCTGGAATCCTAGCTACTCATGAGGCTGGTATTTGAGGATGGAAGCTGGAAGCCAGCAGAAGCAGGAGAGAGCAGAAGAGTCCCTGAGACTCTTAAATTCAACTGCCCCCAAAGCCGGAAGTGGAGCTGTGGTAGGCCATTATCCTTGAGCAAAAAAGCTCAGGGATAGTTCCCTGTCCCTGAGTTCAAGTTCCTGGACTGCCATGACAATAAGAAGAGATCAAAGAGGACTAGCTTAAAGCTGTAGGTGAGAAAAGCTATTTTTCTAGTTCAGCTAAATTCATTCATTGATCAGAGGAAATTTAGCCACATTGTTCTTTCTTCCCAAGATGTCATTAAACAGAAATAAGAGAGGCTGAGAGGGTAGCTCAGTGGTAGAGCGTTTGCCTTGCATGCATGTAGGCCCTGGGTTTGATTCCTCAGCAACCACATAAGCAGAAAAAGCCAGAAGTGGCGCTGTAGCTTAAGTGGTAGAGCGCTAGCCTTGAGCTGAAGAGCTGAGGGACAGCGCCCAGGCCCAGAGTTCAGGCCCCACGACCAGCAAAAAAAGTTAAGAGAAAGCTTCATTGCTGGATTTAAATTTTAATCCCTAAATTTTAAAATTTTAATCCCTAACAGAGATAAGGCACAGCATGGGTTTTAGTAGTTAAAGCTGAATTGTCATCCCCTAAGACTGTATTGATGCAGTGTCCTGGATTAGCACCTGTAAACATGCCCTCCTCACCAAGCACAGAATATATATAATACTAACTCATATGTGTAAAACATGGTATGGTTCACAAAGCAGTCCTATGTATATTATTTAGTGTGGAGATAAGGCAGGTATTTTTATGATACACATTTTTATGATTATTTTAAAGGTTAACTTTTACTAAGTAGAAAATACATGGCCTGCCACGCGCCAGTGGCTCAGACCTGTAATCGTAGCTACTCAGAAGGCTGAGATCTGAGGATCCGGGTTCAAAGCCAGCCTGAGCAGGTAAGTCCATGAGACTTTTTTTTTTTTTTTTGGTCCGGTCCTGGGGCCTGAACTCTGGGCCTGGGCGCTGTCCCTCAACTCTTCAGCTCAAGGCTAGCACTCTACCACTTGAGCCACAGCGCCACTTCCGGCTTTTTT